AGTCCACAAAAAGGGGGAGGAGTGCCCTGAGATGGTCGCTCCAGACCTGAGCTTATAAGGAAGACTGAGAGCACAGGTTGACCCTGAGAGGGCTCCTGGTTCATTCTCTGCCTCAGTCTCCCTTCTCTCTACCTCTGCCCCATTTCTCACACCCCTACATTGAGGTCGGCCCTCAGTCTCACCTTCTGTTACTGTCCCAGACCCAGCTGCCCCTGACCGGTAGATAAGTTTCCGGTGCTGACACCGTCCCCACCCCCTCCAGGGCGCAGCTGCGTTAAACGGCCCCAGGCGGGCCTCTGGGGGCCCAGAAGGCTACAGTGTGCACTGGGATGGAGTGGCTGCGTTCTCTCTCCTTTGTCTGGTACCCCGCAGGTCCAGAACCTCGGCCCCGCATCGTCCCTCCCCCACCCCCTCAACCGCACCTCCGCCTTGGAGCAGGAAGAACATAAAAGCGAAAAGGAACCCGGATGAGTTAGGGTTCCCATGTTCTCTCCACCCCACGGCGCACGGTGGATTAAAAGTGACTAGAATTCGATGTGGAGGCTCAGCGTTCCTGGAGAGGCTGGATGGGGGCGCTCCCTGAGGGACGCGGCCAGGGACACCTCCACCTCCAGCCCCACTCGTTGACTTCAGGCCTGGAAACTCAAATTCTAAAGTCTTAGAGCGAAAAGGATCCTGAGGCAATGCTTTCCCCATTTTACAGACGCGTAACCTGAGGCCAAGCAGGGCCTTGTCCAAGGTCACCTAGAAAGTCTAAGGTAGAGGAAAGGCTGTGGGCTGGGAACCTCTTTCTCAGAAGGGCCTCTACAGAGCCACTCGTGGGATGGCAGGGAGTTTGGAGGTGGAGTGAGGGGGTGTATGCTGCCAAATCAAAGAATCTAGTTAGGTTGGAGATACCGGCACAAACCAGTTTCTTCCCAATACCTTTGCGGCTTGGACAGAATCCTCAGAGTACTGCTGAGGTGGGATGGAACCAAAGATATTAACCAAGCAGGAATAGCTTGGATTCCCATTTCACACAGAGGGTGTGCGGCTTCAGGACGGTGTTGGGCTGCCTAATGTGTGCGGCGACAGGTGCCCAGGACAGGGGGAGATTCCCTCTGAGTAGGGGTTCTTCACTGCCTCCAGCCTCCAAGCGGGCTGCCTTCGGAGAACTTCTCACGCCAAGAGGCGCCACCAGACCTGACATCCTGGCCACCTACCCTAGCCTTACAGGCCACCAAACAGCGGCCCCGAGAAGTAACATGACTAGCACCAGATTACACAGCGATTCCCTGACGGAGCCAGGCTTCCCCGCGCCACAGTCCTGCCTCCGAGGGCTCACGAGCCCACGAGTCTGAGACTAGCAGGGAGGCAAGCAAATGAGAGACAGACCAGACTAGCAGGGACCTGGTCTCACCGCCCTGGCGCTGAATCCGCTCAGGCCTTGCTGTGTGCAACTGTCACGGGGTTACCTTCCCCCAGCCGCACAACTTTGGGCAGGGCCTTGCGCTAAGCGCTGGCGGCAGATACTGGGAAAGAAAACCATCCGGGAAGAAACTCAATTTATAGAAGTCGAATTGCCTTTGCAAGTTCTGCTATTGAAAGAAAGCCCATTGAGCATTAATTGAGAAGCCAAAATACCTCCAGAGAAACATCCACCTTGATCTTCAGTCAGCAACCTGCCCTCACTCAGAACACACTCCCTCCCTGCCTCCCCTTTCTTTCCAAGTCCACCCCTCCAGCATGTGTCTGGGGGTTGGGGCTGCTCTAGGGCTCTAGGGGCCTGAAATGGACTTCTCCAGCCCATATCCCTGGTCTTGCTTCAGGCAAAGCAAGGCCTACAGGGTTCAGATTAGGTGCTCAGTTTGTGAGAGTCAGAGATACTGCTGCCATCACAGTCCTAACTTCATAGGTCCTCTCTTTATAACCCTCATTTTATTTTATTTTTTTTAAGGTTTTGTTTTTGTCTTGTAATCTCTACACCCAACATGGGGCTCCAGCTCACAACCCCAAGATCAAGAGTCCCATGCTCTTCCAACTGAGCCAGCCAGGTGCCCCCTCTCTGACCCTCATTTTAAAAAGTATCAAAGAGAGAGCACAACTGACCCAGGTTACATAGAGAGTTGGGCAAAGTGGATTCCAGTGTGACTGATGCACTTGGATCAAGATTTTCTGTAGGCATCATTGAAGTAGGTAGAAAGATAGGAGAATTTAACCAGATTTTTCAAGAACCATGTTAACTGCTTTTGTCAGGGTTTGTTATCACTAGTAGTGCACCCTGCAGGCCAGGGGCTCTGGCACTATCTTTCTCTCACCCAAATACTTCCTGCTATGGACCCCTTCTCCTAGGGCTCAGCTTCCCTGTATGTCTAATGGGGAGAACCCTTGAGATGAGGCCTCCCAAGGTTCTGAAAGATGAAGATCCATGGTTAGGGAGGATTGTTATTCCAACACGCTCATTCCAGAGCTGGGGGACTGGATGCCAATGCCCAGAGAGTGTTCAGCCTCTCCTGGCCTTCCTGGCCTTGGACTCCTTAAGCCAGCTTGGCCAATAGTCCTTTTTCTCCAAGGGGGGCCTTGGGAGATGGGGCTCTATCTCCTCTCCCAGCGAGAATGAGGGGTTAAGGGCAGAGAAGTCACCTTTTGGTTCTACTCCCTCCGTACCTCTTGCTGTATGATGTCAGACAAGTCCCTGCCCCTCTCGGTGGACATCAGTTTTTCCTTTTTGGTACCACAATGAAGAAGCTAGACAGGAGGATCCTTAAGTGTCTCTGTGCTTAAGGCTGACCTTACCTGATCTTGGGCTTAGAGCTAAAAAGGTATACATACTCCTTCCCCATTATACAGATGGGGAAACTGAGGTCGTGAGAGGGAATGGAAAACAGTTCTGAAGGAAGGAAAAGGAGGTCAAGTGGCCCAAAAAAGGCCTCCAAGTTGGGAGATGGGAGAAACCCACACAAAACCCCTAAAACCAGACATGGATGCCCCCTCCCTGGCCAGCTTCTCAGCTCTCTCCTCCCCCGCCTCCCCTGCCACCCCTGGGGCCCAGGCAGGTGCAGACAGGCAGAAGTGCAGTGTCACCTGGGAGCTCCGCCCTTTCCAGGGGCAGGAGGCCCTTACCCCAGCCCAAAGGAGAAGAGGAGGCGTGGCTCTCCAGATTTTTAAACTCGGGCCAGGCTAGGACCCCCCCCAGCCCCACCCAGGTCCGCCTTACTGAGGAATGAAATGCTTTATTGATTAAACGATTATTCAGGCGATTGAACTAATCAAAGAGCCCATCGACCGCCCTGAATTACATTCTTGGTAGACAGCTCTGGAAGGGAGAGGCAGCCCCGCCAGCCACGCAGACACTCCCCCAGACCCTCACGTGCCTCTGACCCATTCCCAACATACACAGAAGACCTACTCCTTGATCTGGCGCCGGCAACCCCAGGAGTCCCACCTACCAAGGGACCCAAGGGGGTGGGGAGGTGGGAATGGAGCAGAGGGTGTTTCCCAGATTCCCTTTCTTATACCTTCACCCTGGGGAATCCTCTTTAATTCCCCACTTCTTAGATTTCTGTCCTCACTTGTTACAATTCTGAAAAGCTATCTATGCCCAGAGAGTTGTCCCGGGTTTGGAGTATAAGTCCACCCCTCTCTCTCTGCTTTTTGACCTGTGTTTAAGGCTGGGGTGGAGGCCTCAAAGAGCTATAGGGGTAAGAGAAGTGGAAGAATTCTTGCCAGCAGGGCCAGGAGTGTGTTTGGGTGGGGGTTAGTACATTTGGCCTAATGAGTAAAAGAGGCTCCTATACCCAGCTTTAATCTCAGGACAAACTGAGGCCTCCTGCTGCCTGCCACCTCCTTTTAGATATAAACACACTCTGCTACCCACTGCCTGGGCCTGTGGGTGGCACACCAGGCCCTGTGCCAGGAAGGCCCATGTGCATACAGGCACCAGAGTTGGATGCCCAGGCGAGGCACACATGTCCACCCACTTGTGCTCTCCTCCTTTGGAGCAGCACCCACAAGATAAAACCTGAGCACACAATACACGCACACACCATTGTCAAAGGCATGTCTAGGTGAAAGTGAAGGCAGGTTGGAGGTCCCTAGAAATGTCATAACTAGCCTATGGGTTGCCTACCCTCCCTTGCCAAGGTTGTGCCTGCCACAAGAAACAGTTTTATACAAATGGTAGGCTCAGCAGTGCCCACAGAGTGAAGCAGTGCGCACCACACACCGAGGGACTGCACACCCTGAAATCACACCTCCACTCCTGGTTCTCCCAACAGAATGTGTCCTGACCTTGACTATTCACAGGCTTAGCACAACAGACCCCCCCCCCACCACACACACAGCCGTAGATCCATCTCTGTGCCTAGAGGCAGGCACTTTTGTGTACGTTGGCATAGACACAGTGAAAAGCTGCTGACATCCAAAAATGGAGGGGTCAGTGTAACCACCGCATTCTCACTTCCAAAAGCACTTGGGATATGACAGGTGAACACAGACCCTTAAAGGAGTAGATGGACACTCAGACACTTACCCGAATTACACATACTCCACTCACACACGTTTTGGATACACAGAGTACGGTACCCAGAAACACCAACTCATAAACATGCACTAACACACCCATGAATATAAGGATACACATACACACAGGCACATAAATTTTTGAACACACACATTTTGAAAATACATATACAGGAACAGACAAACTCAGTGTCACTCATGCACACTCTGAGCCCCTATGTAAACACACAGACCCAAACGAACTTTCAGACCCCCAGATAGTCACACACATAAACATTCAGAAACAGAAAAAAAAAAACACAAACTCACAGACACTTGAGCTGATGCAGAAGTGTGCGAACAAATTGGTGAAAAGACATACAAACGTGCCGCAGATAGACACGCCGTCAATCCCTGAGAAAAGGCGGTTCACTCCCTCCCCCAGGGCCGACGTGCGCGTGAGGACCAGACCTGGCCGGGTCCTGGAATTGGCACGCCTGGAGCCCAAATCGCGGTCCTACCTGTCCTGCCGGTCCGAGGAGTTGGGTAATTTTTCTCTAAATCCATTTTGATTTTTCAGAACTTGAAGTGGACAGGGGAAAAAAGTTTCCACTTTTTTTGTGCTTCTTTTTTCTTTTTTTCTCGTCTTTTTTTTCCTTTTCTTTTCTCTCTTTCTTTTCTTTTCTTTTCTTTCTTTCTTTTTTTTTTTTTTTTTTTTTTTGGTGCCAGGGGCCGCTCACAGGTCGGAATAATTCAAGCCTTCCGCTCCCCCGCCGAGCTGGGGTAGCTGATCACTGAGCTGAAACTAAACGTTTTAGGTGGAAAAAAAGCGTCCGAAGGCACCGTGAAATGATTAAGGAACTAAAGAGCTTCTCGCCATGTGAGATCATGTCCTGTTCTTGCCAACATCACAAGATGTCCCCAGACACGCCGCGCCCCCAGCGTGCCGCCCCGCACCGCCGGCCGGAGCAGGGAAAGGGTGTCCGCGCTGTGCGGCGGGGCCTGTTCAGCTGGCCAGACGGGGCGGGCCGGGCCGGGCCGGAGCAGTGCGGGAGGCCGGGAGAGCAGCAGTGCCGCTGCTGCGCCGCCCTGCACTTTTATAGGTTGGGGGGGAGGGAAGGAAGGCTTTAAACGGAGCCGGGCGCTAGCCCGCGCGCCCACGGGAAGGTGCGGACCGAAGGCAAGCCGGGAAGCCCTGGCCTCGTGGCCGCACGTTCTACAAATCCCTGCGTCTCGGAGTCGCGGCCCTGCGCAGGGTGCGCGAGGCGGGTGGACCCCTCTAGGTGTAAGCCCCGCCGCGTAGGCGGGTGCAGGCCGGGTTTTTGTTTTTTAAAAAATTAACCACCCTGCCCAGCAGGTGTTTTTGAAGGGGGTGCAAAGGCAAGTAGTGTCGCCAGGCAGAGAGAGGGCGTTCCAGTTTCCTCAGATTCACCCCTAGGGCGGCGCCCGCCCCCGGAGCTCTCAGCCACCCCACCCCCACCCCAATTTGCAGCTCTAATACCTTTGCCGGGTCCCTGACTTTAGGGTAGTGCCAGAACCCTAAAGTTCCCAGGTTCCCACTCAGCCTCCTAGTGCCAGAGCTCCCTCCCACACCATGTCCCATTCTGGCCCGGTGCATATGTGAAATGCTGGAAATAAAATCCGGGCCTCCGCTGAGGAGGTCCTGGAGATTGGCGGGAGTCCTGAACACCTTACCCCGGCCCATAAATGGAATCCCTTTTCCCTCAAGACCCGAGGCGTTGCTGCGTGCCCGAGCCCCAGGACTTGAGTCCAGAGGGGAAATCAGCCCGAGAGAGACCGGGCAGTGGTGTGGCATGTCCAGCCCGTTCTCTTCGACCCAGGCTTAAAACTTCACTCCCTTACCCCCCTCCCCCCGTCCCGAGTCCAGCTGCAAGGCTTGGCCACTGGATGTCTGTGCGGCCCCGCTGTGGGGTGGTCGCGGGGGCAAGGTTCTCCAGGGCGGGGGAGCGCTCTGCGGGAGGACTCTTGGCCCTCCGGACAATGGCAGTTTCGGAAAGTGAATCGTCCTCAGCGAGAGTGTTGTTTGTTTTTTGGAGGGGGTGGTCACGAGGCTGGGCCGCAACCTAGGGGGAAGAGCCCAGAGCTCGAGAAAAGGGGGGTGGGGGAGGCTGGCGGGAACCGGACATCTCTTATCCACTGAGCCGATTTCGCCACAATCGGAAACGTGGCTGTGGATTCCCCGGCGCCCCCCCCCCCCCCCACCAAGTAATCTGCGCAGTCCCCCTGCGCCGCCTCCTTCTTGCAGCCTTCGAGTCGGGGTCCCTGCCCCGGCGATTTGATTTTTGGCCCTCTCTGAGCGCCCGACTCTTCCTTACGCTATCCAGCCCCAGCTCCTGCTTCCCGCCCTCTCGCCTAGCCCGCGCGGGGTCGCAGAGCCGAGGAGGAGCGGCCTGTCCGCGCCTAGAGATCAAAAGCCCTCCCGGAATTGACATTTTACCCCAGGCTGGGGGCGGGAGTTGTTGGGGTTGTTTTCTATTTAGAGGGTTTGTTTTGTTTTTGTTTGTTTCCCGTGAATTTTCTTTTCATAATCTATGAGAGAGTCTTTTGTTTCGGGTGTTTGCGTGTAGTTTTTTCGTGGATTTCATTTTAGAGGGTTTGGTTCTATGAGTCTTGGTCTTTTTGGTGGCTTTTGTTTTCTGTCTTGTGGGTTTTAATTTTATGTGTTTTGTACTTTGTCCTTGGAGGGTGTCTTCTTGTGTGTCGTTTTGAAGGCTGTTGCTTCTGCGCGGTGTTTTGATGTGTTCTGATTTTGTATTAGTGGGTGTCGTCTGTGTGTTTTGCGTTGGGTGAATTTTGTGTTTGTGTTTTGTTTTTCTTCGATTTTTATTTTGTTTTTACGAGCCGAGCGTTTGGATGGGGGTTTTGGTTTATATTTTCGTGTGTTGGCTTTAGTTTTTGTATTTGTGAGATGCTTTGGTGAGTTTTGCATGTGTGTTTTGGCTTTGTGGGGCTTTTGGATTAGGGAGGAGACACCGGGTACTGCTCTGTTCCTGTCTGCACCCAGGAAGGGCAGAGGATTAGGCCAAGCATCAGAAAGGATGGGTTCACGGTGCTCCGAAATACCTGACCCCAGCGCCGCCTTGTCCTACTCTGCGCGCTCCGGACCAAGGCGAAACAAATGAGCGTTCCCGAGGGGGCGCCCGCCCCTAGTCATAACCCTGCGGGTCGCGCGGCGCCAGTGCCAGGCTCAGAATTCACAGAGACACCCCACCCCCGCGGGGTACCCAGACCCAGCCGCCGTTCCCTTGCGCACCCTGTCCGCTGTGGGTCGATCTCCCCTTGCGCCTGGCCAGCTTGCTTCGGACCTCCCTGACTCCAGCAGCGTTGGCCCGAGGGGCGGATCCCCGCCGCGGAGCCGGTGGAGAGCCTCTTCGGACGACGCGGAATTGATACTTCGGCCCTAGAGATACTTGGCAGGGGGCTAGGGACGCGTGGAGTCTAGGCGCAGATGGGCGTCGGGACCCCCCGAAAAGTCCCCCACCTCCCTTGCCCGCAGCCCTAGAATCCTAGAAACCCAACTCCGCTCAGCTTTCGGTTTGGAAAGCCTGCCCTGGTTTGCAACCACAGACACATAAATCCACACTCGAACATACGCATACACAGCTAGAGAGCGAAAGAGAGCGAGCCGGCGCCGCGGTAGCTGCGGCCTGCATGGCGTTACCGGCGCTGGCACCACCTCAAGGGGAAGCCAAACTGTAGTGACCGGAAATGTTGCAAGGACAGAATAAGGCATTCTTTCCGTCCACGTTGCCGGAATTTCTCCACCCTCGATACACCTGGATTTGTTTAATACTACACCATGGAGAAAGGGAGAGGCAGAGAGACACGCTGGTTAAACCTGCAGGGAAATGAGGGGAGAATCTATAGAGACAGAAATATGTCGAGGGAAAGACAAGACTGTGGGGAAGGGCAGATTGGAGGCCCAGGAAAGGGACTGGTGTGGAGGCTTCTCCGGCCCCCTCGCGCTCTGGTATTCTGTAAGAGGGAGAAAGCAGAAACCGAGAACAGAGAGTGACAGGACAAGAAAAGAGTCGCAGAAGGGGTTGGCCTAGGCACGCTGTGAGCTTCCCTCCAGCTAAGACGCTACAGTCTAGGGAGGGGGAGGCCGACGTCGGGAGGAGAGGAGCCTAGCTCGGGCTCTTCCACTCCTCCAGGAAACGCCCGGGACTCCAGAGCCTGTGGAGCCGGGACTGGGGCTCGGTCCGACCCATCGCTCCCCTCCGAGATCCCCAGCCCGGAATCCAGCAAAGGTTGGACCAGCGGGGTCCGCCGCTGGGCCTCGCTCTGGGCGAGCCCTGGGAGAAGCCGCGGGGAACGACTCTGACCCTGCGGCTCCCGGCTGGGGCCTGCGCTGAGGGTGGGTGGGAGCCGACGTCCAGACTGGAGGCGAAGAGGAGGCCCCGCCCTAAAGCTGGGGGCCCAGTTCTGGGAGCAGCTGTGGCCGCAGCTGGACTTGCAGGATTCGGGGTCCTTGCGGCGCGCACGTGGCACCGCACTTTCCGCAGGCGGCGCCCCTAATGCCCAGCCCCGCCCTGCTTCGTTTGCCGGGTCTGGATGGTGTCAGGATTGAGGGTGGACGCCGAGGCGCGGCGAGTAGGTCCCTCGCGGTATAAGCTTGGGGCTTGCCTAGGGGCGGCGCTCGGGTGGATGCGGGCGCCCCTCCACTGGCAACTCCCCGGACGCAGAGCGCAAAAAGCGCGTAACGCAGGCCAGTCGCCGCGGCAAGTTTTCTAGCGGCGCCGGCGGAAAAGGGATGAGGAATGGTTTGGGTCAAAACGCCCATTTCTGCTGCCAGGGGGGTCCTCTGCGTATAAAGGGCTTCGAGGTCTGGCTGCTGGTAGCACCATGTGTTAGCGGCTTGCCACCCAGAAATAGTCGGGTAGCGCTGGAAAACACGATGGGGCTGTGTTCGGGGAACCTGGTGCTCATGGTGGGTTATCGCTATTGTCTTACTTTACTGCTTTTCTTGCTTTAATTAAAAGCGTTATAGAGAGAAGCCTCAAAGAGGGCAGACCTGGGTCGTTTGCATGGGTTCATTTCAACTCAATCCAGTAATTAAATTCAGTTCCACTATTGGTTTCCAGTGCACAGGTACACATGGCAGACGTCAAGTGTATACCGTATACATATGCACAGAGACGAGGTTTCAAGGCAATTCTTGGAGAATTTTGAGATAAAACTTACTCTCTTGAAGTTACATTCGCAATATGTGACTATGGAAAACGGGCAGTCAGTTGTATTTAAAATTTGCTTACACTTCCCAGCAATCCACTATTACCTAAGATCCAAAACGGGGCATTGAAAAGATTTACTGGCACTGATTGTTTCTGAGAACAAGTGTAAATCAGTTTATTTCTTCTTATAGTTCCTTTTAAATTTAACAATACCATAATTTGTAAATAGTAAAATCCTAATTTGCTAAAGAAAGTTTATACGTAGGACGTTTTATTTCTATCAATATTTATACGATGAGCTGTTAGCTCTCCTATCCCTTCTTCTTCCGCTAGTTCTCCGTGTAATGTGAGCTTTAAATATTCATGCGCCGGCCCAGACTTACATCCCCTTTAATATGTTTTCAAGTAATAACATTTTAATGTGATATAATTTGATTCCGTGAAGTACTGGAACATAAAAGAGCCTACTTCACAAGCGATTTTGAGTGCGTGCACAAGTTAAACGATTCTTTTAGTTTTGGGGCGTAGATCAGAGTGTTAAACGGAAGTGAAGCGCGCGCATAAGTAGGCCCTTCAATGTTCTCACTTACTTCATTCCCCGTTTTTCTGTAATAACTTCAGAGCTGGAGCAGAGGATCACAGCAGGATTGGAGCGCTTTCCCTGGAGCCTGTAGTGTGACCTTGCAAATCGCCAAGTGAATACCTCAGTCTCCTGACAGGTTGTGCACGGCTTTTTTGTTTTTGTTTTTGTTTTTTTTCTTTTGAGGGGAAGTCATGGGGGGGGTAACTACAGGATTTGAGAACATGCCTGAAATAAAACTGGGCTCTAAAAATCTT